CGGTTAAAACAGCTATGTCAAGTTCCGCCACAGAAACGCGTCAACCAAATCACTAAGCTACTGCGCTCCTCCTAGACGCATTCTCGAACCGAAGCTGGCTACTTAATGCGGATCTAATTCTGACAAACATTTAAATACAGAAACTTAGAGTGACAGAGATTTGGAACGAAAGAAAGGAGTATACAGGCACAGGCTAAAAACAATGATTATTGCTATCATTTATGTTGCTGTGCTGCCAATATTATTATTACCATTATTATTGCTGTCACTATTGTTATAATTATTATTACTGTAACTGGTATTGTTGCTGTTGCTTCCACTGTTTTTGCCGCTATTGTTATTGTTCTTATTATGTTAAAAGAAGTGTTAATTATGGCGCGTAATGGGAGAAGAATTAGCAGGAAGTAGTAATTTTAGCGCCAGTTATAGTAATTATCAATGTCCATTATCCAAAAAACTTCCTCAACTAAACGGGTCTTGGAACCAATTAAACAGCTGCTCAGAAAAAGCGCAAAATTTTTCAATTACAGAAAACGTGCATTGAATTTTGAGAAATACAAAGGAAGTCATGAGCCAAACTATTCTTGCATACTCCAGTAACGTAGAACTATGCACGGCGGCCTGGAAGAGACAAGCGTAAATCGAGTTAAAGGGAACACGCACAGCAGCAGGGCAAGAAAAAAGCGTAAAAAAGAACCTGCTCATTGGGATTTGGCAAGGCAGCCGGCACAGGATGTTGCACTACTCCAGGAACTTGGCCCCATGCTCCAGCTGGTTGCGAAAGCAACGGTGCATGTGGCGCTGCTGCTCCACCATTCCACGGTATCATTGCTGCAGCTGCATCGTGACGATGATGAGCAGCTGCAGCGGCGGCAGCAGCTGCTGCTGCAACTGCCCACTCCGGATTGGCCGTGCTTGGCGCAGCAGCTGCTGCTACGGGATGCATTGGCCACTGCACTGCCGCCGCTGCAATGAAAAGAGTGAAAAGACTTGTTAAATAAAAAAAGTACTAACAGCAAAAAATAAAAAGTGGACTTAAAAGGATTAATAACAGGCCTTCCTCGGGGCAGGGACCCGAACATGAGAAGAGCGCTTTAGCCACCCCACAAAAAGCCGTCAACCAACGGATATTTGAGTCTTCAGTATTTTGTGGGTACGCCAAGGAGCGAAAGAACGC